CCCCAGCCCTACCCCACAGAGCGGATCCCAGTCCTACCCCACAGAGCGGATCCCAGTCCAACCCCACAAAACAGGTCCCAGCCCAACCCCACAGAGCAGACCCCAACTCTACCCCACAGAGCGGATCCCAGCCCTACCCCACAGAGCGGATCCCAGCCCAACCCCACAGAGCAGCATCCTCCCTACTCACCCCGGACAGCTTCCCTATTCCTGACACCCAGGTGGACAGAGCCACAATTTAGGCCACTACCTTATCCCAGCTGCCACTGGAGGATGGAGGCCTCAGATGACCCCTGGCCAGTGGCCCCTCAGAAGGAGGACAGAGGCCGAGCAGCCTCCAGGACAGCAGCACCGTGGGTGGGCAGGTGGGGCTGGCGGTCCTGGGAGAGCCGCCTCCCTGGACAGGACATCGCTCCCAGGAGGCAGAGGCCACTGTGGTCCAGGGGGTTCACATTCAACCTCTCCTGGCAGGGCTGGGTGGAGTCAGGGTGATTTCCAAGAAGAGTTCAGACTCCAGACAGCCACAGCAGGAGCGCCATGTGAAAAAGGAAAAGAGGACCCTTGCCCAGCTGCGTGACCCTGATTCATCTTTTCATTTCATCAGTCAGGGCGGGTTCCAGGCCCTCGAAGCCATCTCCCAGCTCCTTCCCTCTCCTCCCAGCCTTCCTCCTGTGAGCCTCCACGTCACTTCTATACAAGATGAGTCCCTTTGCCTGGGTTCAAATCCAATGCTGCAGCTCACTCACTGTGATCTTGGACACAGCGATGAGCTGTTGGGCCTCCCTGTGCCTTGCTTTCTTTATCTGTGCAATGGGCATGGCAATAGTAAGACCTGCTTCAGAGGGTGTGGTAAGGGCTAGACACCTGCACAGTCCCTAGTCTGCAGTACATCGCAGAGGCTCAGTCAATGTGACCTACTAGGGTCAGTTAGCCTGGTTGTCTCAGCCACCCACTTTCCCTTTGTGGGCCTCAGTTTTTCCTTCCATAAAATGGGTATGGAACAGCAGTGTGGTTCTGGGGGAAGAACATACACTTTGCGGTCACATCCAACTTCTCCTAAGCCTGGGTCCATCACCTAAAGGCTGAGGGGCCTTGGGCAAGTCATTTAAACTCCCCTAGCTCAGCTTTCTGTACCCGTGAAATGGCTGTAACCGGCATTCCCCTTGAGGGGTTGTTCCCAGAGCTTACAGAAGCACCCAAGGAGGGCAGAGCTGATGTCAGTGCTGGGAGGTGCAGAAAGGGTGGCCCATGTCACAACCTACGCCCACCCCCCCACCCATCTGCCTGAGGAGAGCCCACCCTCTGAGTCACCCACTCACAAGTCCGCCGCGTCTTATCACAGCTGACGATGGTCTCCGAGGTCTCTGGAGTGGTGTAAGCGATGACCTCATCTGACACGAAGCCTGGACTTGGGCAGGGGTCAAGCCAAAGGGCCGAGCCTGCCCACAGCTTGGAGGGCTCCCCTGCAGACCCAGGATGGGCACTGCTGTCCAGCTCTGGGCAGAGATGGGGGGACGGGATGGGGCCATGGGGTCCTGGCATGGGACAAGAGTCCCCCGGAGAGAGGCAGACCCTGGCCCAGCCCAGGCCCAGCATGGAGGGAGTGAATTCCATTCCACTGAGGATAAGCAACATCTCATCGTATGCTTGTTTGTAAAGAACTGTCAAAATTTCGGGCAGGGTGACAAGGGGGAGTAAGTAGAAATGAATAAAGGAGGGATGTATGTAAATTAAACAAGCTTCCTGGCATTGTTGAAGAACGAGCTGAGATAACACAGGCCGGAGGGTCTGCCCCGCGCCCGCACACGTTGGCCTGGCGGAGCCTGAATCTGGAGCTCTGGGCTGCCGACAGAGGCAGTCCCGTCCCGTACCGGGAAGCCAGAGACTCAGAGGAACCTCCCGGGTGGGTCCCAGGCCCTTGGGAAATCCTACCCTACTCCTGGGCCCTAAGTCAGGTGCTCAGGGTTAGGGGGCTGGAAGGCCCTGACGTTTGCTGAGGGAGAGGCAGTGCAGGGCGGGAGCAGCAGGGGGCGCGGCTCTCCTAAGGACAGTGCTGGACTCTGGCCAAGCTCCAGGCAGCCACTGTGAGCCCCTGTCCATTTCAAGGAAGAACAAAGGCGACCCCAGGGAACTGCATTCCAGCTGCAGAGCAGAGAAGGGTCTTTTCACTCTGGGCCTCAGTTTCCCTCTCTGTACAAGGGGACTAAATCCCCACTGCAAGGAGATCAAGGTGGTGACCGTTGGGGGCAGCATGGTCTCCAGGGAGGAGCAAGGACTTGACCTAAGGACAGGTCCAGATCTGAGGCCCACCTGTCAGAAGCTCTGATCTTCTACTCCCCCGGCCTGTTCTAAGGATCCTAACGCCCACCTCTCAGGGGCCTCCTGAAGACTGAGGCAAGTGTGTGTAGAGCACCCCAGCAGCCTCAGGGCCTACACATCAGCAGCTGTGGCTCCTTGGAAACTGTGGCAGGTTGTGCAAACTCTGACCTGCTGCAGCAGCCGGTCCTGGACCCTCTCTGAGACTCAGTTTCCCCATCTGTGGATGAAAAGCTTAGGGGAAATGAGCTCTCGGGCCCTTCCCAGGGACTTAGTTTTCTGTGCCCTGGAGGATCCAGGGATGGAAAACTGTTGATCTTCAGGGGCAGGTGTCTGCAGGAAAGCACAGGTCCCCCGAAAAGTCAGCTCTGGGTCACAGTACCCCACCAAGGCTTACTCGGGGGCCAGGCATCCTGGGCACGTGAAAAATTCTCCTTGCCCCTTAGGCAAGCCCACCTTGCAGAGACATGGACCAAGAGCCCTGGCCAAGGTTGAGGGAGGTTCAACCCGGCCCTGAGGTCCCCAGCCCCTAGCATTCTGGGCCATTCCAAGAAATGGCCTGAAATTCTCCACATCTTCAAAGCAAAATGCACTTCAGGTGTGTGGAGGAAGAAATGCAGGTGCTACTGCCCATTGTCAAAGGGACTTTTAGGAGGAGAAGCCCCAGGTCCCTTCTCTCCCCATCTCCTGTGACCCTTCAAACTCTCGCTCTCTCTGGGTCCTATGGAGGCTCACACTTGGGGCCCCGCCTCCTCCCACCTTGTCCTCCCCAGACACCCTGTCTGATGGGGCCACTCCCTGCCCGACGACTCGGCAGTACTCAGGCCTTCAAGGACCCAGGGCCCTGAGGGATCAGGCCCCTCCACCTTCCCATTCCGGGAGGCCCTTTAACCTCCAGCTCCCCCTCCCTCTGGACCAGAGGTGCCCCTCCCCATTCTTAACTTGGGTGTCTGTGAAACTGGATGGAAAAGTTATCCCAACAGCTCCAACTGAAGTCCAGCATTCATTCCTTTGGGGGTGCACTTGACCCCAACCAGCAGGGCCTGTGGCTCCATGGCCAGTAGAAGCTGAGTGTTTTCACCCCCACGTCACCGCCCACACCGAAGGTGTCTCCAGTGGCAGCCCTCTGCCCCGGGCTGCTGCAAAATGTCCACTGGTATCAGACGACAGATCAGAACCTGTAATTAACACGCTAATAAAGAAGCCCATACACAGGCCACACTGTCATGAATTGTTTCATGTATTTTCATAACTGTGTTTTGATAGAACTGTTCCCCTTTGTGACCCCGTGGTCTTTGTTTTATGCATTTAAATGTACTTGACGACATCTTTCTGAGAAGGACTCCCAGGCTTTGCCACGCAGCCCAGGGGACTAGGGACTTACAAAGTGTGAAGATCGCAGCTCCAGGCTGTGCACGCGGGGTTGTCTCCTGCTACCCGGACCTGCTTTTGCTTGGGAGCCTCTACCCAGGTCACCGCCAGGTCCCCCTTCCCATCCCGCTGCTGCACATCCAGATCCTCTCCAGGTTTGACAGTCACCTCTAAGGGGGGATTCTGCCCTCTCCCCCGACTCTGCAGCCTTCACGCCATCAGCTGACGCACTGTCACCAGACTCTGACCCTCGTGCTGGGTCTGAAGGGTCCCTGCAGAGAATGCAGGAGCAATGATGAGAATGGAAACAGCTTCCCGTTCCCTGGACAGCCAGGACTCGGGAACGCTGCTCAGGCCTGGCCTCTGTGATTCTTCCAGCGACCCTATGAGCTTGAGAAAAGCTGTCAATTCCCCTTTCCTGGAGGAGGAAACTGAGGCACAGAGGAGACTGGACCCGGACAGACCCCTCTAGAGCGGGGAAAACGCATCCCTCAAGGTTTACTGGGATAGGCTGGGCCTGGGGGTCCCCACCAGAAGGGACCCCTGCGTGTCTGTAGCCTCGGGTTTTCCCGACCAGGCAGACCAGAGTCCCAAGGCCTGCTGGGTGGGTCCAGGCCCGGAAGGCCAGGCGGGGCCCTGTCGGGGCC